GGCGCCTGTCTCACAGCACCAGCTGATCCCCCAGCAGCAGCCGGCCACCCAGCCTCCCCCCGCCAGGCAGCTCCAGCCCCCGCCCATGTCACAGGCCACCCCCCATGGGCGCACCACAGGCACCCCCCATGGGTGCACCACAGGCACCCCCCCATGGGCGCACCACAGGCACCCCCTATGGGCACACCTGCCCCCCAGGTGTCCCAGCAGACGCCGCAGGTGCCCCCACCCCACATCGCCCAGCTGGCCCCGCCCTCCCAGCCGGCAGCCCCGCCACAGATGGTCCCCCCGCCGCAGCTGCAGCCTGCCAGCTCCCAACAGATGCCGCAGGTAGGAAATGTACTGCACCTGCCTGTGAAAATGCCATTTCATCAACAATTCTTTTTCTTTACAGCTACCATTAGATTTCTAAAATCATATATGGATTTCTCATCTGTCTATTAGTAGTATGAGTAAGCACTAAAAAGGCAGGCGATGCCTAGTATTAGTAGTAATGTATTACAAACAATACATTCTGTTTATCACATGGTATAAAGGCTAGCATTTTTGTCAAACTCAAAGTATGATGTTCATGTGTGCCATGTTTTACTGTCAAACATTTGTGACCACATGTTTCTAGGCATTACATTAACAATTTATGCACAGCTAGTATGTATGGAATGTTGTCTTGTAGAAATGTTAAACGAAATGTCGGACTTTACTCCAGGTTCCTGCAGCTGCCCCACCTGCCAGCCAGGCACCTGTCCTCCCCCCTCCCGGCCTCGTCATCCCTACACCATCCAAGGTACGGGATCACCAACTTTACACAATGTCACGTGTCGCCACAATAAACATGTAGTCTTGTCTTTTATTGTATTCTGGTCATACAGTTGTTTTACTGCTGAGTGAAGTATCAATATTACGGTCATGCAGGTTTGATGATTTTTTTTTAATAGTTTATGGGGTAAGCATAATAAAAATAGCAAGACATATAATTAGATACAGTATAATGTTGTTGGGCAGGAACTATGGTAAATAGGCATTACGGATCTCTTTCTAAGGCCCATATTAATGCTTTTACATAAGTAAAGGTTATTCCAAGTTGCAAATGATTATGAAAAATAGAATATTGATTTGGAAGATTGCAATTTTTTAACATAATGGATGGATTTTGATTGTTTTCCTATCAGAAAATTATAGGAGTTTCTTGGCCGATAATGCCAGCTTTTTCCTGAGTGTTTAGATGCAATTGAGTTGATGTTTTGTTCTAATGCAGGAGACTTCTGGTGAGGAAGTAAAGTTGCGTCTGGCCCAGGAACAGGCTCGTATCCTGGCTGAACAGGAGCAGCAGCAGAAACAGGTGGGTTGGGAAATGACACAGGTTACCACTAACAAGATTTATCAACTTTACAAGCAACATGCAGTAAAGAGAGTGTGTGCTTAGATTTATGTATGCACATCATATTTTTTAAAGGTAGACACATTTCATTTTGTCAGGTTATATTACATGAAATGACCTGTCACAAATAATCTTACTCTAGGTATTGTTAGGCTAGGATGAAGCTGGTGTGTTACGCTGAAGGCCGGGTATACCGGCTATACAGATTGTTAAAGGTATCTAGCGAGAATGCCCTGGCTATACTTGGTGTCAACGAGTTCTACTCTATGATACTAGTTCTATTCTAGATTAAATGTTAACTTGCACGTGTCTGCAGGTCCAGGAAGACCAGCTGTTGCAGCTGGGCCGTGCACAGCAGCAGCTGCTGGAGGTGGAGAAGATCCGCCAGGCGCAGGTGCAGCAGGTGCAACAGGTGCAGGAGGCCCAGCGCAAGGCCATGGAGGAGCACCGTCTGCTGGAGGAGCAGAAGAAGGCCCAGCAGATCCTGGCAGCTGAGCAGCAGCGCAGGGTAGGACTACTGTTACTTGTTTTCTTGTACCTTACCCTTACACTATAGTCTACCCATGTCATTCTTCTGGATACACCTTTATTTATTCATTTATTCAGGCACCTGGCCCATAGAAAGAAAAAGAGAACAATATTAACAATGCAAAGGTTATACTGTACCTACATGTATAACCTAACTTAAAAAGAGCTACCTTTTAAGAACAAGGTTTATGTAGTGTCTCCAAAAAGCGAGTCTGAATGGATGAGGATCTGGGTAATGGAAATATTGAAACATAGAAGTCCAGAGACAAATGAATGTGTCAGTGTCCAAGTGTGTCCATTTTTGTGCTCAGTGCAATGAGTTCTCTATCATGTGAAGGTATTTCTCTATGGAGGATTTCCATGTCAGTTTTGTTTGTGGGTTCAGTCAGACTGTTCTATATGACATTGTTGTACAGCTTGCTGAGCAGCAGCAGCGAGCCATGATAGAGCAACAGGCGAAGGAGCAGGAGCTGATGAAGCTGCAGCAGCAGGTGAGTTGGTCATGCATGTTCATCAATTTTAAGTAATTGTATATGTTAACATTGTATGAACACAGAAAATATTATTCTATATGGGGCTTGAAATAATGGGTGTATTTTTCACCAAGCTTTGTGCACCTTCTTTGTGACTGGATGTACTGCGTAATGTGCACCAGTGTCATTTCAGTTATTGCAAAAGTCTGCTATAAGAGGACAGAGTTGGAGTTGTATGTGTGTCTGGTGGTAGACTGTTCCAGACACTTGGTTCATGGTAGCTTATGGGTTTTCTGAAGATCTCTTGCGGAAGTTTTAGGACAACCGGCTAATTGCTTGTGCTTTTTTGGATGCTGTCTGAAAGCTTCTGAAGTTTTACCTTAGTATTTGGTGTCTATCAGTTTAAACCCTTCCTGTTGTTTGACCTGCCAGGCTCTGATGGAGAAGCAGAAGGAGGAGCTTCAGCAGCAGGCTCGCCGCCAGCAGGAGGACGCCATGAGACGCCAGCAGCAGGAGCAGGAGCACAGGGACACCCCCCCTCCGGACATCCCCCCACAGATCCCCCCTCCAGGACAGCAGGTCCCACCACCCCCCGGAGTCCCTCCAACAACAACAGAGAAGTAAGAAACCTGGCAACGTTTTCTGGGGGTTGGTCTGGGAAGTAAAGAAATTGATGAATCATTGTTGAAAAGTCTGACAAAGAGACAATATTTACCCATAAATGAAAACAAGTCTGGAATGAAACCAGTTTCATTTGTTTTAGAACCAAGTTTCAACCACTAGTATATAACTGAATTGCAAGTCCTCAATCATTTTGTTGAACAAGATGTTGTGAAGCAAATCATAGTCTTATTAAAGAACTACTTTCCCATTGCTGGGACACTGCATGGTACAAGTCCTTGCTCAAATTATCTCTGTGAAACTTTTTATTCAGGTTTACTATTCACTGACTAATGTTTTTCTGTTTGTCAAAGGCATGGACACCCAAGGACCGCCACCCAGGATGAGAATGATGCACCAGGAAAGACGTTAGTAGATTTGATTATCAGCTGCTAACAGACAGCTTTATCTGTTGAACAGGCAGTGCCTACTGTATATGTATGTATGTTCATTTACAAGAATTCTAAAGATGCCAACTTCTGGGCTTTACAGGTTTTCCTTCATAGAGATATTACTGTATCTAAGTGATGGAGAGTTATGCATGTGTACAAGGAGTCTTATTTACTAATTTCAGCAATCCAAAACTGTACTTGTAAAAGCATTCTTGTTCTATCTGTTCTCTAGATCCCCTGCTGCCCACCCCACCCCCTGGCCAGCAGCCCCCAGGCACTTCCCCAGGTCTTCTCCCCCCTCCTGGCACCAGAGTACCCCCCGGTGCCCCCCCTACCCGCCATCCACCCCCTGGAACCCAGGGACCCCCTCCCCGTGGCCCTGCGCCCGGTCAGCGCGGGCCACCCCCCTCCCAGCAGGGCCCCCCTCCCTCAGAGGATGATCGGGGTGAGGATGGCCCCCCTCCACCCCCCCAGCCGGAAGTCAAGCTCCCACAGGCTCTGGAGAAGGTCCTGTCGTTCAAGGTAAGTCTGACTAGTTGTGGTCTATGTTTGATTGTGATACACAGTAAAAGAAATGAAGCTGGGCAGTTTTTCCACTCCAATGGATAATAGGAAACCTTTTGGTGACTGGAAGTATTATGTACCTCCATTACACCTCCATACAGAGTCCATTACTGTCAGATAATGTTGAAAAATGTTAGACATGTCTACAAAAAAACTAAAAAGTGCTATTCCCTTAATCTCCAAGAAAATGGGTGGTTGGATACTGCCTGGCCAACTTGATACTGTGCTTGCAGCCACCCAAAGATCTGCTCAGACATAAGCAGTGCCTCTGTTGCTGTATGTGAAACATTGCATTAACACACTGTTTGCCCATGATGTGCTGTAGAATGCCAGGGAACAGGAGGTGGCCGCCATGCCGGAGCCTGAGCCTGAGGAGGAAGAGGCTGATGTGGATGAGCTGGAGTTTGAAGAGCCGTCTGCACAGGAGGAGGCACAGAACAAGAAGGAGGTGAGATACCAACTTACAAATTAGCATGTGGTCAACTAGTGTGATTTGTGAATAAGACTACTGAAGGTTGGATGATGACTCTTATGTTGGTCAGTATGGTAAAATCCTAATTCAAATGATATCAGCCCTACAGCATCTGCTATGGCTAAACAGTCCTATTCTAGAATGACAGTTTCTGCCACATAAGGCGCATCTGTAAGCTGACTCAGTTCTCTTACATCTAGTTCTGCGGATTCACTTTTCTGTGTTATATGTGTCTTATACTACCCTTCTTTATGAAAGGTGTAAATGCAACCTTCTAATATATAAACACAAAATAATTTTCCTGATTATCCATTTTGACAAAATAAGTGTTCTTACAAAATGTCTGAAACACTGTATATGATAAAAATGTCAAATTATGACGTTGAATGTTTCCTCAGTCCAAGAACAAGCAGCGTAAGAAGAAGAAGAAGCGCAGGAAGGCTCGCGCCCGTCTGGAGCAGGAGCGGAATGAGCGGAACCTGGAGCTCCAGCGGGAAACAGAGCCTGAGGATGTGGAGGTGGAGTACGTGACGGAGGCTGTACACATCAACAACCCAGCATACGCAGAGTTCAACAGGATATTTGAAGCCTTCAAGGTAAATGCATTTAATTTCAAAATTAAAATTATCAGTGATGGTAATATTTTGAGTATTATTTTCATTTCCTCTGTTGCTTTATGTCAAAGTGGACTAAACCTATATAGAGGTTTACTGTTGTACCAAAAACGTGTTATTCTGTCAGTAATAATGTGGTCTGTTTTTTTTTCTTTCAGCTGAACGAGCCAGCCAAGGAGAAAGACAGAGGAGATGAAGACCATTCCTCAAAGAAGGAGGAGCCCAAACCAGAGAAGAAACTACTTCTGGACATGGAGGACCTGATAGATGATGAAATGGAGGAAGAGGTATCTAAAATTTCCTGTTGGAAACTATTTCTGTTTGGCTAGCATGGCTATAGAAACAGTTAACTTTTTGTGCTGCTCTGACTTGTGCATTGTGGAAAACTTGTGGTCAATGTGGAGATGAGGGTACAGTTCTTTTCTGTAAGTTTAAATCTCTAGTGATGAGATCTGAGTCCGAAGG